TATGATATTAGCTGTAGGTAGTTGGCTTTTTAAAAATGATTATTGTTCATAGTTACCTTACCTTTTTAATGTCTACATTCTGTGGCAATGACCCCTATCCTTTCCCAAAGTTGGTGATTTTTGTTTCCTTCCTTTTTTCTTGATTAATATAGCTAGGAGTTTATCAGTTTGTTGTTGTTTTTTTTTTTTTTTTTTTGAGACAGAGTCTCACTGTGTTGCCTGGGCTAGAGTGCCGTGGCGTAATCAGTTTTACCAGTCTTTTCAAATAACCAGCTTATTGAGGCCTGTATTATTGCCTAGCCATTTTCTTAGCAAATATTCCATTTGCACTTGAAAAGAACGTAGGTTCTGTGGTCATTGGGTACAGTGTTCTATAAATGTTTAATTGATTTTTTCTCTACTGTTTATCTGTTTTGTATATCATTGATTTCTGCTCTTTATTATTTTCTTCTTTCTTTAGGTTTAGTTTGCTTTTCTTTTTCTAGCTTCTTAAGGTAGAAGCTTCAATTATTGATTTTAAATTATTCATTTCTAAAGGAATGGTGTACATTTTTCTCTAAGCATTATTTTAAGTGTAGCCCAAGAATTTTAATATGCTTTCTTTATTATTTAGGTGCAAATATTTTTTGTTTCCCTTGTGATTCTTCTTTGACTCACGGATTATTTAGAAGTGTGTAGTTTAGTTTACAAATATTGGGGATTTTCCATTATCTTCTTGTTATTGATTTCTAATTTAACTTGATGGTGGTCATAGAATATTCTCTGTGTGATTTTAATTGCTTTATAAATTCATGAAACTTTTGGGAACCTGAGGTTATTTGATTATAAAATTAGGGAATTAGTTGAGCCTCTGAGTCAATTTTCATTCCTCTTTCAGGTGAGAGATCAAGCCCAGCGCTGCTCACGGGTTCTCCTAGATATTGAGGCTGGTGCTCCTGTTCTCCTTATCCCAGAAAGTTCCAGATCAAATAATCTGATTGTAGCAAATTTGGGGAAGTTGAAAGTCAAGAATAAGTTTCTCTTTGCTGGTTTTCCTGGAACCTTTTCCCTGCAAGATAAGGTGAGCCATCAGTATCCATCCTCTTTTCAGTTCAACTAGCACTAATTGAAAAATTTACCTGCTGCTGTAAGATGCTCCATAACTGCTGTTATTTTTGTAGGATACATGGCTTGAAGAATATTTTTTGACATCTTATTGACATTTCAATTAACTTTATAAATTAGAGTAGTATAAATTATAACTGTTACTAACTGTAGATGGTAACTGGTTTTAGCAAACAAACCAATGCAATCAGGGTTCCATCTTTTTATAATGCTTTCCTTATATAAAAACCTTCTTTCTATAATATCAACTTTTTACACAATGTGACTTTTTTCAGAGGATGGGATTTGGCCCATGGTTTTCCTGAAGCCATTTAAAAATGTCTTAACAACATTTTATACGGTATATTGCTTTACAGTTTTCAGTTACTTTGGCACTTACTTATTTCTTACAACAGTGTTTGGAGGTAATTAAGATGAGGATTGTTGTTACTTGCATTTTACATTTGGGAAAACTAGGACTCCTTGAGAATAAATAATAAAAATGGAAACACCTAGTAAATCACAGATTCTTAAAGCTGAGAGGACCTTGGAGATAGTTTAATTAGCCCCCTTCCACCCAGTTTTGCGTTTGAGGAGACTGAGTGATGTTTCTGGAACTAGAGATGAGGTCTTGTCATTCTTGGCTTGTGTTTCCATCATTCCTCGCTGGTTTCCACAGCAGCATTTCAGTCTATTTGCTTACTCAGTCTGAACCCATTTTAACATGTCAGGAAAGAACTTACTGCAATTCTCAGCTAGTTATGCCTATATTTAGTCTAATAGCTAATAACAGGGGGCGAGAGAGCCTTTGAGATAAGATTTAAGATGTTAAGACCGACAAAAATAGCAATAAATAGGTGCTGTTTGTTGAATGCTCACACATCAGCCTGTGCTAAGCTCTTTACATACAAAAGGAAACCGTTCACCACACATCTGACACCAGAAGTGTTGGTTTTTTTCCCCCCACTCCAACCATTCTCCAACTCTCTAGATACCAACTGGGTGTCTGCAATTCAATTATGACACTGCCTGTAGTTAGCACAGACCCCACAGATTAAGGGCTGAGTCCCACAAGACTGCCCCCTACTTCAGACACCAGTCACAAGTCCTGTGTCCTGTACTTCTGACCGACTAGCTATAAATTAGGGCTCCTAACAACCTCCTCCTCAGGTTCAGTAATTTGCTGTAACGGCTTGTAGAACTCAGGGAAACACACCTACCAGTTTATTATAAAGGACATAATAAAGGATACAGATGAATAGCCAGACGAAGGCGCATGTAGAGTGAGATCCAGTAGGGTACTGAGTACCGGAGCTTCTGTTCCCATGGAATTGGGGTATGCCTGTCCCTAGCATGTGGGTGTGTTCACCAAGCAGATAGATCTCTGGACCCCATTCTTTTTTTTTTGAGACAGAGTCTCGCTATGTTGCTTGGGCTAGAGTGCTGTGGCATCATCCTAGCTCACAGCAACCTCAAACTCCTGGACTCAAGCGATCCTACTGCCCCAGCCTCCCGAGTAGCTGGGACTACAGGCATGTGCCACCATGCCCGGCTAATTTTTTCTATATATTTTTAGTTGTCCAATTAATTTCTTTCTATTTTTAGTAGAGACGGGGTCTCGCTCTTGCTCAGGCTGGTCTCGAACTCCTGAGCTCAAACAATCCGCCCGCCTCGGCCTCCCAGAGAGCTAGGATTACAAGCGTGAGCCACCGCGCCCGGCCAATATATTGAACTTTAAAAAGGTGATGTGTGTATAGGAAAAAAAGACTGAAAAGATATGGTGTTGCTGTGATAATCATAATAGCTGTTACATATTCACCTCCAAGTGTTTTAGGTGTGTTGGTCTCATTTAATCCTTACAACAACTCTGAGGTAGGGCTTATTAATATTCCCATTTTACAGATAAGGAAACTGAGTCACAGAGACCTTAGCAACTTAACCAAGATTGCCAAGCTAATTAAGTGGCTAGAGTGGGGATTCAAACTCAGGTAGTCAGGCATCAGAGTTCATACTGTTAACTCCTATGCAAAACTGCCAAAATGGTGCCATTTATCTCTGGAGGTGCGATATGGGTGATTTCTGTTTTATTCTATTTGCATGTCTTTCTCCTCTAAATTTTCTGCAATGAATATGAATTAATATTCTCAAATTTACTTAAAACAAAGATTAGCCATGAGTTGATAGATAATATCAACAAATCATGTACAATTAGGAAATGGAAACAGTATTTATTTTTTAAATTCTCTGACTTATGTACTTAACACCTCAAAGAAATATCTTTTTATATTGTAAAGTTACATTTTTCTCTTCTTAAAAAGCAATAGAAATTTACGTATAATTTTTATTTGTCAATTAAAAATAAAAAGTAATACATGTGTTTTTACAGGAGATAGGAAAATATGAATAAGCAAAAAGGTAGAAAATTTAAAGTATCTGTCTTGTTCTTTGTAATCTGTATTTTTTCACTGATCAATGTATGAGAAACATTTTCCAAGTCATTAAATAACACTTTCAATGATTGCGTAATATTTCATTATATTAGTACATTGTACTTTTTGTCAGCTTTATTGTGGTATAATTTACGTACAATAAAATCAACTAATTTTAAGTGTACAAGTCAGTGAATTTTGACAATTGTATGCCGTCTTGAGGACAGAACCACAATCAAGGTTTAGAACATTTCTGTCACCTCAAAAAGTTTCCTCATGCCCCTGTGCAATTAGTCCCTTTGCCCTAACCCCTGCACCGTAGCAGCCATCGGTCTGCTTTTTAATCACTCTCATTTTGTCTTTTTAAAAGAATTCTGTATAAATGAAGCCATACAACATGTAGTCATTTGTGTCTGGCTTCTTTCATGTAACAATGCTTTTGAGATTCATCCATGTCGTTGTAAGAATCAGCAGTTTATTTTTATTGCTGTGTAGTATTCTGTTGTTTGAATATAACACAATTTATTCACTTGCCCACTTGATGGACATTTGGGTCATTTCCAGTTTTGGACCGTTATAAATAAAATTGCTCTGAACATTCACATTCAAGTCTTCGTGTAGATGTTATATTTTCATTTCTCTTGAGTAAATTCCTAGGAAAGGAATTGGAGTCATATGGTAACTGTAAGTTTAACATTATAAGAAACTTTCTTCAAAATTGTTTTAGCTATTCTGGGTTATTTGCTTTTCCATATGGGTTACAGAAATTAACAAACTGACTCTAAAATCCATATGGAGTCTGCTACAAATTTGGTTGGGATTGTATTGGATCTATAGATCATTTTGTGGATAATTGACATCTTAACAATATTGAGTCTTTGTATCCTTGAGTATGGTATATCTCTCCATTTAAATAGGTCTTTGGCTGAGTGCAGTGGCTCATGCCTTTAGTCTCAGCACTTTGGAAGGCTGAGGTGGGAGGATCACTTGAGGCCAGGAGTTTGAGACCAGCCTGGGCAACATAGTGAGACACTGTCTCTAAAAAAAAAAAAATTAGCCTAGTGTGGTGGTACTGGTCTGTTGTCCTAGCTACTCAGGAGGATCACTTAAGCCCAGGAGTTTGAGGTTGCAGTGAACTGTGATGGCACCACTGCACATCAGCTTGGGCAACAGAGCAAGATCCTGTCTCAAAAGAAAAAAAAGTAAATAGGTCTTTACTGTTTCTCAGCAGTGTTTTGTAGTTTTAGGTGTACCAGTCTTATGCCTCTTTTGTTAAATTTATCTATGGGTATTTCGGATTTTTGGTGCTATTGTAAATGATCCCAATTTTTCAAGAATTTCAACATCCAGTTTGTTGAAAGTTAAGAAATATAATTGACTTTTGTATATTGACTTAATGACCTTGTATCTTGCTAAAATTATTCTAGTTCCTTTAGATTCTTTAGAATTTTCTGCATAGATAATTATGTTGTCTGTGAATAAGAGAGTTTAACTTTTTCCTTTCCAACCTGTATTCCTTTTATTTTTTTTTTCTTGCCTTTTTACATGAACTAGGACTTCCAGTACAATATTGAATAGAAGTGGTGAGACTGGATATCCTTCCTTTGTTCCTGATTGTAAGAGAAAACATTCACTCATTCACCATTTTTTTTTTTTTTTT